ACACCAGTCCATCACAGGACACACACACCCTGGACAGGACACCAGTCCATCACAGGACACACACACACTCACACACCCTGGACAGGACACCAGTCCATCATAGGACACACACACACTCACACACACACACCCTGGACACCAGTCCATCACAGGACACACACAGACACACACCCTGGACAGGACACCAGTCCATCACAGGACACACACAGACACACTCACACACCCTGGACAGGACACCAGTCCATCACAGGACACATGATAAACTACAGCGACCCTCCTTAAACCACCGTGGGAGGGTCACTCGTGGGAGTCCTGACACCCGTGGTCCCCTTTGCAACGCGATCCAGCTGTAGGACAGGGATCTGGTAAAAAAAAAAACCTCTGACACCCCAGTCTATACAGCGCCTGCGCACAGCTCCGTGAGGCTGACACGCCTAGAAACAGCTCAGACGCTCTGAAGACCCCCCAACTCCTGAACTTCAACTCCCAGTGCGGGCGAGGATCCGAGCCAGATAACACGCGGTTCTTAGAAGATTTAACACTCACAGATAGATGTCAGATGCCGAAACTAATTAAAAAAATATAGACTACAGTACCTCTACGTGCCCAGGGCTCGATTTAAAGAGCAATTGTTCTACTGATCTGGCGCTGTTTGAGCTTGAATTATCGTATATATTATATGCATCTTCCTAATGATTTCACTTTGCTTTTTTGTCTCCTCCTCGCCCCCACAAAAAAATGACAGAACAATCAACTTTCGTTGTGAAAAGGAAAGTAGTTTCTTGCTTTCGCATTCAAATCCGCCAACAATTTCATTGCGTCGAATTAAAAATTAACCGTTTTAAAAAAATGCGATAGTTTGGATGGGGTCACTTAGAAGTGAATCTTAGGCAACATACAAGCCTGTTACCCGGAGAGTTTTGCTAAACAATTTCAGAATCTCCGAAAACCTAAAGAAGACGAAGAGTCAAAACGAAACTTTAACTTTAACGATTTGCCCCTTCGAGAACATACAACACTAAAAACAAAACTTACGACCTTCACCAGAATACCAGAATATACAAATCCGTAAACGACACCGAGGAGTCTTTCTATTAAACGACCAAACCGAAATCACATCTGAAGACTTAAAACCAAAATGTCGCTCACCTGCGACACGTCCCGATTCAATCATTTCCCGCGGGGACACAGGTTCTCGGCAGTTAGAGGTTACCTTACTCTTAGAGGGAAAAGATTTTTTTTTTTAATAAGAAAAATCCAACTTCAGTAAATCGATCTTCGATCCGGCAGATGACAATGACAGCACTGTCGTTTTAATACCTGACAGAACACGAGCCCAGGGAAGCTGAAATGCAAATATCCTGCCTCATTTGGGTGTGGAGGACGACTTGTTTTCCTATAAAGCCTGCAGGGTCTGTGATAACTGATCTAGATCTTCCTTGTGTGTTGTATCAGGAAAGAGAATCAGACGCGGAAATACAACTGAAAATAGCCCCCCCCCCATTCTGCCCAGATTCTAGCCTTGAAATCCTGCGATCTAGGTATATTTTCACGCTAAAAACCGATGAAGACCACCGTTAGCACCAGGCAGACCCCCCACAGAAGAACTAACCTATAGTCTATCGTGAGGGAATGCACGATCACGTTTTCTCAAGGGGCACCCCAAAACATTAGCCCCAGAGCGGAATGGGGGGATGTTCGGGGGGCGTTGCGGTTCATTGTTGAGCCCACGAGTAACTAAGAGAGAAACCAACAGGTGTCCCGTCGACCCACAGCAGAGAGCTGGCCTTGGACCGCCAGACTTGGTGTCGGTGTTCTCTTGCTTGAGTGAGAATCGCCTTTCTGTTGAGGATGATGATGATGATCTAGCGCGCCTGACGACGACAGAACACGTCGTGGTGTTTTCAGTGGAGACCTGTGCGCCGTCGTACAAGCTGCAGACTCTAAAATCTGGCCCGGCTCCACCTGTCCGGACCACATTTCACAGGTGCGCCTGAGAGCGCGCTCGCGTGTGGGATTCCAGTGGGGCTCGCTGTCGGACTGGAAGGCGTTATGGGGGTGATCGGGTCGGCCCAGTCCGTCACTGGGGTACAGCCCCCCTCTGTCGCTGACATATTAACAGCTCGCTGTCGGACTGGAAGGCGTTATGGGGGTGATCAGGTCGGCCCAGTC